CCCCCTAGAGAAGGCATCCTTTGTTAATATAGTTATGCATCATCAATGCCTTACAAATTGTAGCACTCATTAAAGTCAACGTGATAGATCCGTCTATTGCAATATGCGGAAATCCTGCGTACATTCATCTCTTCCAGATTGCAAGGTCTGTAGGAAGTTGAGAACAAGGGTATATACACTGAGAAGTGTATATCTTGGTGCATGTACACTGGGGGGTAAATTTGTGTATACACCGAGGGGATGTATCTCTCACTGTACTGCACGCACTGACACTGTATCTCAATGTATATGTACCTAGAGGTGTAGTTAGTTACCATTTGGTCCTAGGCACATGTCGATTAGACACTAGGCCTGTTGTATGTGCATGCATGTGTGTGTATGTGTGTGTTAGTGTGTGTGTGTGTGTGTGTGTGTGTGTGTGTGTGTGTGTGTGTGTGTGTGTGTGTGTGTGTGTGTACTCACCTAGTTGTACTCACCTAGTTGAGGTTGCAGGGGTCGAGTCCAAGCTCCTGGCCCCGCCTCTTCACTGGTCGCTACTAGGTCACTCTCCCTGAACCATGAGCTTTATCGTACCTCTGCTTAAAGCTATGTATGGATCCTGCCTCCACTACATCGCTTCCCAAACTATTCCACTTCCTGACTACTCTGTGGCTGAAGAAATACTTCCTAACATCCCTTTGTGTGTGTGTGTATGTGTATGTGTATGTGTATGTGTGTGTATGTGTATGTGTGTGTGTGTACTCACCTATTTGTACTCACCTATTTGTGGTTGCAGGGGTCGAGTCCTAGCTCCTGGCCCCGCCTCTTCACCGGTTGCTACTAGGCCCTCTCTCTCCCCGCTCCATGAGCTTTATCAAACCTCGTCTTAAAACTGTGTATGGTTCCTGCCTCCACTACGTCATTTTCTAGGCTATTCCACTGCCTTACAACTCTATGACTGAAGAAATACTTCCTACTATCTCTCTGACTCATTTGTGTCTTCAACTTCCAATTGTGGCCTCTTGTTTCTGTGTCCCCTCCCTGGAACATCCTGTCTTTGTCCACCTTGTCTATTCCACGCAGTATTTTATATGTCGTTATCATGTCTCCCCTGACCCTCCTGTGTGTGTGTGTGTGTTGTGTACTCACCTAGTTGTACTCACCTAGTTGAGGTTGCAGGGGTCGAGTCCGAGCTCCTGGCCCCGCCTCTTCACTGATCGCTACTCGGTCACTCCCTGAACCGTGAGCTTTATCATACCACTGCTTAAAGCTATGTATGGATCCTGACTCCACTACATCTCTTCCCAAACTATTCCACTTACTGACTACTTTGTGGCTGAAGAAATACTTCCTAACATCCCTGTGATTCATCTGTGTCTTCAACTTCCAACTGTGTCCCCTTGTTACTGTGTCCAATCTCTGGAACATCCTGTCTTTGTCCACCTTGTCAATTCCTCTCAGTATTTTGTATGTCGTTATCATGTCCCCCCTATCTCTCCTGTCCTCCAGTGTCGTCAGGTTGATTTCCCTTAACCTCTCCTCGTAGGACATACCTCTTAGCTCTGAGACTAGTCTTGTTGCAAACCTTTGCACTTTCTCTAGTTTCTTTACGTGCTTGGCTAGGTGTGGGTTCCAAACTGGTGCCGCATACTCCTAACGTACACGGTGTACAGGATCCTGAACGATTCCTTGTTAAGATGTCGGAATGCTGTTCTGAGGTTTGCTAGGCGCCCATATGCTGCAGCCGTTAATTGGTTGATGTGCTCTTCAGGAGATGTGCCTGGTGTTATACTCACCCCAAGATCTTTTTCCTTGAGTGAGGTTTGTAGTCTGGCTCCCTAGACTGTACTCCGTCTGCGGTCTTCTTTGCCCTTCCCCAATCTTCATGACTTTGCACTTGGTGGGATTGAACTCCAGGAGCCTATTGCTGGACCAGGTCTGCAGCCTGTCCAGATCCCTTTGTAGTTCTGCCTGGTCTTCGATCGGGTGAATTCTTCTCATCAACTTCACGTCATCTGCAAACAGGGACACCTCAGAGTCTATTCCTTCCGTCATGTCGTTCACAAATACCAGAAACAGCACTGGTCCTAGAACTGACCCCTGTGGGACCAGCACATGGTGGTGTGCCCCACCTCTCCGTCTTTCTGGAGCCCCTTCTGTCTCCTCTGTGAACACTTCTTTGAATCTCTTGTTGAGTTCCTCACATACTTCACGGTCATTTCTTGTTTTCTCTCCTCCTTCCTTCCTTAGCCTGATTACCTGGTCCTTGACTATTGTTTTCCTCCTGATGTGGCTGTATAACAGTTTCGGGTCAGATTTGGCTTTTGCTGCTATGTCGTTTTCATATTGTCTTTGGGCCTCCCTTCTTATCTGTGCATATTCGTTTCTGGCTCTACGACTGCTCTACATATTCTCCTGGGTCCTTTGCCTTCTATATTTCTTCCATTCCCTAGCACACTTGGTTTTTGCCTCCCTGCACCTTTGGGTGAACCATGGGCTCATCCTGGCTTTTCATTATTCCTGTTACCCTTGGGTACAAACCTCTCCTCAGCCTCCTTGCATATTGTTGCTACATATTCCATCATCTCGTTAACTGGCTTCCCTGCCAGTTCTCTGTCCCACTGAACCCCGTTCAGGAAGTTCCTCATTCCTGTGTAGTCCCCTTTCTTGTAGTTTGGCTTCATTCGTCCTGGCCTTCCTGCTTCTCCCTCCACTTGTAGCTCTACTGTGTATTCGAAGCTTAAAACCACATGATCCCTGGCCCCAAGGGGTCTTTCATATGTGGGGGCCCTCCTGCAAACCCTTGCCAATTCATTCCGGCTGGAAACAGAGAAATATGACACCAAATAGTATTAAAATCCTTGTGTAAAAATTTTAACAGAAAGGAGAAGGATGAATAGAGTATTTAACACAACATTTCTCGAAGCCCAGTGGTACGTTTTACTCAACCAACAGGGAACCGGTTCCATCCCGGCCAGGTGAGACAGAGACACAGGTCTCTTAAAACTTGCTGCCCCTGTCACCTAGCAATAAATGCAGTAGGTGTTTAAGACTTAGTTGACTATTGTAACAGGCATATTCATTGGACAAAGCTCTTAATTAGCTACACAGCACCCCCTTGATAGAACAACAACAATAATAATAGTAATAATAATAATAATAAATAATAATAATAATAATAATAATAATAATAATAATAATAAAATAATAATAATAATAATAATAATAATAATAATAATAATAATAATAATAATAATAATAATAATAATAATGTATGCTAACTTTACCTCAAAACCCTCAAGAGCTTCAACTCCCTGAATCACGAGCCTTTCACCCTTGAAGGGTAATCTAGGAAATGTCGCAGGTGACTGCTAGATGACGCAAGACTTACGGAAAACAAGAGACAAATGTCTTGTAAATCTCAGTGGGTGGGAATAATCTCAAGGGCAGATGAGCTATATATCTTTAGCAGGTGTGGGAAGGTGTTGAGGGCATATGTGGGGAGGGTAGATGTAAGGGAAGCAAGTGGTGTGGGAGAGAGAAGGCAGATGTGGGAGAGCAGGTGTTGGGGCAGGTATGAGGAAGGTTGGTGCTGAGAGGTAGGTGTTGGGGATGTAAGGTGTGGAGAGAGGGCAGGTGTGAAGGGAAGGCAGGTGTGGGGAGGGTAGATGTTGGGGAAGGTGTGGGGAGGGTAGATGCTGGGGAAGCAGGTGTGGGGAAGGGAAGGTGTCTGGGGAGAGCTGGTGTGGAGACAACAGGTACTAAGGGTAGATGTGGGAAGAGCAGATGTGAGGAGGATAGATGTTGGGGAGGCAGGTGTGGGGAGTGAAGGGCAGGTGTGGGGAAGGTTGTGGCGTAGCTGTGGCAGGGGCAGTAAGCATTACACACATGCTCCTCAGATTAAGTCTCTGTTTCGCTCTACTCTGGCACCGTGGATGGTGAGCCAGCACCACACACACAGGTAGGCTTTTGGGATTTCCCTCGACCCGTCCAGCACACAATATTTTCCCTCTAACAAGGGGAAATACCATGAAAAACAGCGAATGAAAGGGGCATTCACTACCCTTTAGTAAGGTGTATCTTGTGTTGCATGTTCACTCTCTAAAGTTAAATAGTATTGATTTTAACGATTTTTATAGGGTATAATAGTAGGTTAATTATATCTGACTGCCGTATAATAAAAGAGGGATGGAAATAAGAGGTGTGTTGATATTTTTGGAAAATTAGTTCGGGGTTCGTAGTAACGGGGTGGGTGCAGCCGATGCTAGCCAGGGGTAAACAAACTTGCGCGCCATCTTTTGGTATTTTATTTAAAAATTCGTAGCCTACTTTTGTATAATTGGTAAATTTTAAAATATTCCTCAATGGAGGTTCCTTGACGCCGGTGAGAGGCTCCTGATCCATTGATGAAAATCTGGCCGCCCTTTTTTCGATCGAACTTGTCTTCTACTCCCCAAGATGCTGTATGACCCCTTCTGGTTTAGCGCTCCCCACAAATAATAATATTTTAATATAGTAAATAAAATATAGTTATTTTTTCACTCCCCTACATTTACAGTAAACAAACTGGGTTATCTTTAATTTGTGTTGTGGTTTATAAATTGACCTTGCTATGACCTCTGACCTGTTGTGCTTAATGCTGGGGCTTGGTTCACATTTATGAATGTGCTAGTTTGCAAATTGTAAGTTTTTACCTTTCAAGATTTATTAAATGCCATAGTAATAGGCACATTAATTATCATCGATTGATTCCTTTATGTTTATATGTTTAAATAACGTTATGTTTTCAATGGTTAGTAAGTTTTTATTTAGACCTCATATATAATTTAAAATTTACAATGATTTTATATAATTAATTACTTAGAATTTAACGTTCAATAACCCAGAAATACCAATGTAACATTTCCACTGGGGTCTTTGGTTGTAACCTAACAATATTCTTTGTATAACACCATTTTGATCTCTATCGCCACAATTATCAGCATAAATAGTCTATTGTATAATTTGTTATCGACACCTAGGATGGGAAGCTTCACGTCTAAGCCTCAGGTGGAGAGTGAAGAGGATGAGGATGAATGTGTCAGTATACCCGAGGTGGCGATGGATCGCCAGGCGCTGCTCCGCTGGGTCCGCGCCCCCCTCGCCCACCTGCCCCCTCTCCTGCCCCACGCCTACCGCCCACGGCCCCCCGCCCTCACGCCCACGAAGTCCTCGCCAGCTTCTACACCCACGAGGAAGGTGCCTGGAAGCTTCAGGGTGATGCAGTGGAATATCCTAGCACAAGGTATGTACACTCACGTTCTTGGGTAGTGGAATATCCTAGCACAAGGTATGTACACTCACGTTCTTGGGTAGTGGAATATCCTAGCACAAGGTATGTACACTCACGTTCTTGGGTAGTGGAATATCCAGCACAAGGTATGTACACTCACGTTCCTGGTAGTGGAATATCCTAGCACAAGGTATGTACACTCACGTTCCTGAGTAGTGGAATATCCTAGCACAAGGTATGTACACTCACGTTCTTGGGTAGTGGAATATCCTAGCACAAGGTATGTACACTCACGTTCCTGAGTAGTGGAATATCCTAGCACAAGGTATGTACACTCACGTTCCTGAGTAGTGGAATATCCTAGCACAAGGTATGTACACTCACGTTCTTGGGTAGTGGAATATCCTGGCACAAGGTATGTACACTCACGTTCTTGGGTAGTGGAATATCCTAGCACAAGGTATGTACACTCACGTTCTTGGGTAGTGGAATATCCTAGCACAAGGTATGTACACTCACGTTCCTGAGTAGTGGAATATCCTAGCACAAGGTATGTACACTCACGTTCTTGGGTAGTGGAATATCCTAGCACAAGGTATGTACACTCACGTTCCTGAGTAGTGGAATATCCTAGCACAAGGTATGTACACTCACGTTCTTGGGTAGTGGAATATCCTAGCACAAGTTATGTACACTCACGTTCCTGATAGTGGAATATCCTGGCACAAGGTATGTACACTCACGTTCTTGGGTAGTGGAATATCCTAGCACAAGGTGTGTACACTCACGTTCCTGGGTAGTGGAATATCCTAGCTCAATGTATGTACACTCACATTCCTGGGTAGTGGAATATCCTAAGCTCAAGATTTATACTTTCACATTCCTGGGTAGTTGTGTTAATCTGTAGCTCTGGGGGGGGGGCACTTTTTTTTTTTAGCTTATTTCCATCTGACGTGATTTCCTTTGCTAGGTCATCTTTACTACTGTTTGTGTGCGTGTGGCCTTCAACTTAAACTCAGTGCCATTCTGGAGGCGAGGGGCTCTTCATCATAGTAGCTACGACAACCCAGCTCCAGGTGATTTTTTAGTGGCAGGAAACGAAAAAAGAAAATAGAAGGAAATAAAAATAATCCACCACCTTGGAGCCTTGTTGAACTGGAGGCGCAGCCAGTGGCCACCCATGGCCCTCCAGAATTACAACTACTGATGCCAATAACAAAATCCCCCCAACAAACACAGAATGCAACCTCGTTCATATTTGCTAATATACAGGGCCTTAAACCATCCACCAACAACAAAATACCTTTTATCAGTGGACTTCTAGAGGAGTCTAATGCAATGTTTGCAGCCTTCACAGAGACTCGCACAAAAGATCACTTTGACAGTGAAATATGGATAAGTGGTTACAACCTTTTTAGATACGACAGAATGAACAGGCAACAAGGGGGGGTTGGCCTGTATGTCAAAGAGCCCCTCATCTGCACAGAGTTGCTGACCACAAATGAGGTAGAAGTTCTATCAGTAAAGATCGAGAACCAAAACCTAGTCATTGTGGTTGTATATAAGCCACCAGATGCAACCTCACAACAGTTCAAGGAACAGCTACTGAAAATTGATTACTGTCTGGAAAACCTTCCAGCTCCATCCCCAAACATCTTACTGCTTGGTGATTTCAACCTAAGGCATACAAAATGGAAGAATGTAGCAAATAATGTTATAGCTGAAACAAGGTCAACACACACATGAGCTACTAAGCCAGCAGATAGTGGAGCCAACAAGACTAGAAAACACACTTGACCTTATCTTCACAAATAATGAGGACCTTATAAGAGACATAAGAATATCAAAAGCAACTAATTCCAATCACAACCTAATCAAAGTCCAGACGTACATGCATAGGGGTCCTGATCAGCAGAATGAAAGTACCTGTGAAGGTGTCTTCACAAAATACAACTTCAACAACAAGAACATCAACTGGGACCAGGTAAACCATGTCCTAAATGAAACATGTTGGGGATATATCTTAAATGACATGGATCCAAACCAGTGCCTTGAAAGGATCAACTTCCTGGCAGCTGAAGCATGTTCTAGGCATATTCCCCTAAGAAAGAAGAAGAGCAGGAGTAAACTGGAGAAAGACGCTCCCTCTACAGAAGACGACGAAGAGTCACTGAGCTCCTCAGGAGTGCTAGAATATCTGATACACGAAAGGAGGCGCTGACCAGGGAAGTGGAAACTGTCGAACTTAAGTTAAATGACTCTTACAGGTACCAGGAGAGACAGGAGGAGCTTAAAGCTATTAGTGAAATTGAAAGAAATTCAAAATATTTCTTTTCATATGCCAAAAACAAGGCAAATACCACATCTAGTATCGGGCCCTTACTCAGACAGGATGGGACTTACACAGATGACAACAAGGAAATGAGTGAAATACTGAAATCCCAGTACGACTCTGTGTTTAGTGAACCATTAATCGGTCTGAGGATCGACGTCCCAAATGATTTCTTCATGAATGAGCCTCAAAACTCCATAAATGTATGCCAGATTTCCGACATTACCCTAACTCCGATAGATTTCGAAAAAGCCATTGACAGCATGCCCATGCACTCAGCCCCGGGCCCAGACTTGTGGAACTCTGTTTTCATTAAGAACTGCAAGAAACCCCTCTCGCGTGCCCTAAGTACACTATGGAGGAGGAGCTTGGACATGGGTGAAATTCCACAGTCACTTAAAACGACGGATATAGCCCCACTCCATAAAGGTGGCAGCAAAACATTAGCTAAGAACTGTAGACCAATAGCTCTGACGTCCCACATCATAAAAATCTTTGAAAGAGTGCTAAGAAGCAGGATTCCAAATCACCTGGCTTCCCAAAATCTGCACAATCCAGGGCAACATGGGTTCAGGGCAGGTCGCTCCTGCCTCTCACAACTACTGGATCACTATGATATGGCCTTGGATGCACTGGAAGACAATCAGAATGCAGATGTAATATACACAGACTTTGCAAAAGCATTTGACAAATGCGATCATGGCGTAATAGCCCAAAAAATACGTGCTAAAGGAATAACTGGGAAAGTGGGGAGATGGATCTTCAACTTCCTAACAAATCGAACACAGAGTAGTGGTCAACAGAGTTAAATAGGAGGCTGCCATAGTGAAGAGCTCTGTTCCGCAAGGCACAGTACTCGCCCCCATCTTATTCCTCATCTTCATATCAGACATAGACAGAGATATACATCACAGCACCGTATCATCCTTTGCGGATGATACTAGGATCTGCATGAGGCTGTCATCTGCTGAGGACGCGGTTAACCTCCAAGAAGATACAAAGAAAGTTTTCCAGTGGGCAACGGTAAATAATATGATGTTCAATGAGGACAAATTCCAACTACTCTGTTATGGAAAACTGGAGGAGATAACTAGAACAGAGTATACTACAGACTCTGGCCATACAGTAGAGCGGAAAAATAATGTAAGGGACCTGGGAGTAGTAATGTCTGAGGATCTCCCTTTTAAGGATCACAACAGTGCCACGATCGCATGTGCAAAGAAAATGATAGGATGGATAATGAGAACGTTCAAAACTAGAGATGCCAAGCCAATGATGATCCTTTTCAAATCACTTGTTCTCTCTAGGCTGGAATACTGCTGTACATTAACATCTCCATTCAAAGCAGGTGAAATCGCAGATCTAGAGAGTGTACAGAGATCCTTTACTGCACGTATAAGTTCTGTCAAGCACCTTAACTACTGGGAACGCTTGGAAGCACTTGACTTGTTGGAACGCAGGAGGGAGAGATATATCATAATCTACACTTGGAAAATCCTGGAAGGAATGGTCCCAAATCTGCACACAGAAATCACTCCCTACGAAAGTAAAAGACTGGGCAGGCGATGCAAAATGCCCCCAATAAAAAGTAGGGGCGCCATTGGTACACTAAGGGAAAACACCATGAGTGTCCGGGGCCTAAGGCTGTTCAACAGCCTTCCATCAAGCATTAGGGGAATTGCCAATAAACCCCTGGCTGCCTTCAAGAGAGAGCGGGACAGATACCTAAAGTCAATGCGGGATCAGCCGGGCTGTGGCTCGTACGTTGGACTGCGTGCGGCCAGCAGTAACAGCCTAGTTGATCAGGCCCTGATCCATCGGGAGGCCTGGTCATGGACCGGGCCGCGGGGGCGTTGATCCCCGGAATAACCTCCAGGTAACCTCCAGGTAATCAAAGTAATTGGAACTACCCTCCCCTTTATTTATTTATTTATTTATTTATTTATTTTATGTCTTTGCAAACAGTACATTGAGATTTTGTATTTACAATAGTGGGTTGCAGTGCAAAGAGAGCCTCTATTATGCCTATCAAATCTGATAACCTCCCATTCTTCAGGCGCTTTATGACGCTTAATGGTTTAGATCTTAGAGCTTCCCCAATAATAATAATAATAATAATAATAATAATAATAATAATAATAATAATAATAATAATATGCTATTAGGTTCAGAGCCTATTTACTACACGAAGTTCTTATTAAAGCTGCTTGTCACTTGCACACGAACAGTCAAGAATACTGTAATCCTTAAAACAGTATTAAGGTAAACTTACGATGCATATACTCATAAATGCACATCTGGTGCATGTACTTTTGTGTTTGTGTAAGTACCTCTTAGTAATTGCAATTTCAGAATGTCCAGTCTTCAGTTTGTTGTGGTTGTAGTCCATATAGCCTCTTAATAGTCCATATAGCCTCTTAATAGTCCATATAGCCTCTTAATAGTCCATATAGCCTCTTAATAGGTAGTAAGTGCTGCAACTTGGAAATTTAAACAAGATTATATGTTGAAATAATTAGTGAAGAGGAGACATGACGAATTTAGCTCTGCCTTTATAGCTACCAGTAGGTAAGTATACATAATTAATTACGATCTATCAGTTTGTTAATAAATAGAATGATTTGTATGGGCTTTTTTAAGTATTTTCTTGGCTAAAGAATAGTTCCCAGTGTTTTCCCTA